ATCACGCCAGGAACCCTGGACCCAGATTCCAGGGCCATCTTGGGGCCATCCTGGACGCTTCGGCTGCCCGCGGCCACCCCCGTCCAAGTCCAGGGGAGGGGTGAGCCCCTCCCCGTAGGGGAAGAAGGGGGTCGGATAACGAGGAGGGTTGTTTTTTTGCGTTGCCTTGGAGGACTTGGAGGAGGAGGAGGAGGAGGAGGAGGAGGAGGAGGAGGAGGAGGAGAGGAGGAGGAGGAGGAGGAGGAGGAGGAGGTGACGCTTCAGGCTCCAGTGTCGCGCCCCCGCATCCTGCGCAAGAAAAGGGAGGAACACCACCTACGCCCAGAGGGCTGGTGGGGATTTCCCGCGGCACCTCCCGCGCCAGCTCGAGGCCCGCGAGGGCCCCGGGAGCCCAGAACCTTGGGCGCGAGAGGGCCCGGCCCGACATAGCTGCGACGCCCGGATCTCGGGGCGATGCTCACGGCTCCGAAGGACGCAGATAACCGGTGCTCACCCCCCACCCACCCCCCCCCCACCCCCACCCCCTCCCCCACCCCCTCCCCCTCCCCCTCTCCTTCTCCTCCTCCTCCTCCTCCTCCTCCTCCTCCTTCCTCCTCCTCCTCCTCCCTCCTCCTCCTCCCTCTTCCCCTCCTGCCTCCCTTTCTGCCTCCTCCTCCTCCTCCTCCCTCCTCCTCCTCCCTCCTCCTCCTCCTCCTCCTCCTCCTCCTCCTCCTCCGTCTGGACCCCACCGGCGTATATGCGTGGGGAGGAGACAGGTGCCCTTTCCGGGCCCTGCAGGCCCCCTCTTGGGCCCTAAAGGGCCCCTCTTCTGCAGCCCTCGCTGCACCCCCATTGATCGCACCCCCCAAGAATTCGCGCCAACGGTGTTTTGCGACGCCCGGTTCTCAGGGCGATGTTCAAGCTTGGTATCGGTCGGACGTGTGCATGTTTTTCTCGGCGAGGGCCCTCGAGGAGCAGACTGGGCCATCTCGCCAGACAACCACACGCAGGACACCGAAACGTGCACGGGGGAGAACGGAGGCCGGAGCCATGGCGAGCACACCCCCGCAAGACGCAGGGAACCGGCGTCGTGATTTTTCTGCACGGGACCCCCAGAACCGTGTGCCCAGGGGCTGCTTTTCCCGGGGGGGGAAAAAACACAGACACAATGAATCGTCGATTCCCAGAAAATATAGGAAAATATGGGCAGTGGGGGGGAAGACAGAAACACAGAAAATATAAGAAAATACGGGGAATAGTTTTATTTGTGTGTATTTATTTGTGTGTCCTGGGGGCCCTTCATTCTGTCTTGTCGATGCGCTGGAGGTCTGGGCAGGGCGGCACGGCCAGACAAGGCCACCGAGCAGCCCCACGCCGGGGGGGGGTGCCAGACCTCCGCCCGGGATCGCGTGTTGTCCCGGCAGCCGTGTCGCCCGAGACCTCCCCACCGTCCGTTTGCGCGGGAGTCGCGCTTTTTCACTGCCCGACTGCCGGCTACTGCGGGATGACGATTAATAAAAGAAATGGGAGAGAACGATTCAACAAATAGTTTTCTGCGATTTCTGCACAACTTTCTGACTGGAGGAGAACGATTAAAGAATAGTTGTCTGGCCCGCGGCCAGTTTTTTCTAATCGTCATCCCGGGCGCCGCCGCATGAACACGACCCCCAGTCATTGATTAATCGTCATCTTCCATTACTTGTTTGGCACGGACGGCCACGGTCCTGGTAACAGAATGCACGTAGGGTGCACATGGCCGTGCTCTCACCCATTCTTCCAGCTGCATCTTCCCCCGGAATCCCTGGGAAATGCGTGGGCCTGCGATCATCGATCCCTCCCCCCGTTACCCCCAGCACTCCAGATGATGCACTCATCCTCGCCGAGCGATGTCGCTGACACCACGGCGAAGTGCTCAATGAAGGAGCCTCTGAGGCCAATGCCGCGGGCTATCTTGGCAGATGCGCTGGAGGTCTGCGCATGGCGGCACGGACCTCGCGGGCGGGACACAATGCGTCTGCGCGGGGCCTCAGCGGACCAGCCCCCTGGGCCGCGGCCCTGCGGATATAGGGGGCGCTTTTTGCCACGGGTGTCCCGCGCGGAGCGCATCCGTGCGACCGCGTACAGTCGGGGCGCTGGAGAAGGATCCCTTTTCGTTGGGGAGGGGCTCGGTGTTCCTTGATTGTTTTACAGTTTGCCTTGGGTTGTCCTTAGGTTTTCCATGGGGAATCGAAGTTTAACTTATGGGAAATAGGGGCCTCGTTCCTTATTTAGGGTTCCTTAGGTCAAGGCCCCGACTGTATCCGCGGGATCGCGCCCCGGAATCCAGTTTGCGAGGGCTCGGACTGGGACCCGTCCGCCGCTCGCGAGCCCGGGACACACCCCTTAATCCTACATTTGGCACCGCCTGCCCTCGGCGCCGGCTTCGAGGACGTCCCAAGTTGTCGAAGGCGCATCCCTGAGATTGCCTCCGCCATGTAGCTGCTCTGCCTGAGGAGTAGGGATGAGTTCAAGATTGTTAACCGCATGCCGATGATAATAAAGGGACCCCCTCCCTTCAGTGTTTAGAGTTGATTATCGTCGCCCTATACAAAATTCAAATTGGGCGGCGAGCGCTGAGGCCGAACTTCATTATCACCTCGAAACGCTATGTTGAGATAGCAACATCAAGCGATGTTGATATAGCAACATCAAGCGAAGCGATCACACTTTTTCAGGATGTGTCAAGCGAAACCAATAATTTTGGGAGGCAGACTCAAACGAAACGAGCAATGTTCTTATTATTATTATACTTTCCTCTTCTTCTTTTATATTTCTATCTGTCCTCACGCTCGCCTGAACTTTTTTATCCCTGGGGTTGATTATCCATGGAAAATGAAGCACATGAGCTACCCTACACGAGCACTTAAAAAATCAATTTTCATAAAGCGTTTGTACATTAAAATTGATAGATTTGGAACTTTGGATTTTTCCTTTCTTCGTCCTCTTCTTATTTTCCTCTTCTTCTTCTTTCTTATTATTCTTCTACTGTATTCTTCTTCTTTTATATTTCTCTCTGTCCCCACGCTCGCCTGAACTTTTTTATCTCTGGGGTTGATTATCCATAGAAATTGAGGCACATGAGCTACCCTACACGAGCACTTACAAAAAAACAATTTTCATGAGAGATAAGCCATTGTTGATGATATTTCTATGAAAACTAAACGCCAAGGATGTCTCAAAACGTGCTCGGCTTGGTCTCCTCTTGATCATCTCTTACTTCGAGATTATGCTGAGGTCTGCTGGGCTACTTTTATTATCTCTCCCTGAACCCCGAACTTTATTATCCCCGAGTGTTTATTCTCACGGGCATGAGGTTATTCCCTCTGGGCCATAACGCGCGTGATGCCCCTTGCCCTCCCCCCCCTCCCCCCCTTCATAACGTAACGCTCCCCCCCTCAGTGCGTCCCCGGCACTGCAGCAGTGCGTCCGGCACCACCGTCTGGGGGGGGACACTACGTTTTGCCCTCTTCCGTCCCCCTCCTCTACCCCCCATAACGCTCTGAGCGTCGAAGGACATGGAATTCGTCTTCACCAACATTGGCGCGTGCCCGTGCAAGGTCGAGCGCAAGCGCCCTCGCTTCCAATGCGGCGTGCCACGCTGGGAAGCCCGCGTAAGCCGCGGCTTAAGGCCGCTATGTCGTCTCGCGTAAGACCCGTTCCTTTTCGTCGCTCAGAGGGACAATTACGGAGGTTTCCGCCTGTCTTGGGTTGGATAAGGTCATGTCTGCGAGCAGCGCCCACTTTGGAGCCGATTGGGAGCCTGAGGGGGGGGGCGCACTGCTTCCGGCCGGCAAGGAGGCGGGGCGAGGCTCGAGACGCGGGGTTCGAGCAGGTTTTGGGCAACTGTCTTCGTCTCTCAGACGGAACACGCCCGTTATGACCGCGATTTTTTAAGCAACATATGTGTATATATATATGTATATATGTATATATGTATATATGTATATGTGTATACATATATATATATATATGTATATTTATATATACAAACACAAAAAACACAAACACACAAAAAAACACAAAATAAACACAAAATAAACACACAATCTATATATATATATATATATATAAACGACAAAAAAGCGCTTCGAGGCTGGCAGGGGCGCGCGCCCACGGGGCGCCCACGGGGCGCCCCTGATGCGCCAGGCGCGTGCCACGACCCGCAGAGAGTGCCTGCTCTCGCAGACGTCGGGAGGGCCGTCCGTCTGTCTCTGTGTGGTCTGCCGTGAGCCCCCTGTGGCGGAGGGTGGGCGCCCGCGGGGCGCCCACCCTCCTCCTCCTCCACCGTCCTCCTCCTCCTCATCTCCTCCTCCTCCTCCTCTCCTCCTCCTCCTCCTCCTCCTCCTCCTCCATCCTCCTCCCCCTCCTCCTCCTCCTCCTCTCCTCCTCCTCCTCCTCCTCCTCCTCCTCCCTGGGGGCCCACATTCCCCGCCTGCCTCCCGGGGGGCTTCGCGACGGAGCCTCGGGACATTCACCCAGCGCATTGGGCGCGCGCGAGGCGCCCGCGAGTCGACTACTTTATTTGTGAATTCAATTGGTTTTATAGGGCTTTCACAACTGGTCGCGGCCGCGCAGAGGGCGTGCGTGGCGACGCCCCAAATGCTCGGTCTCCAGTGCTTCTACGTGGCGGCGCCCCCGCAGGCACGCAGAGGGCACGCGTGGCGACGGGGGCGTCGCCACGCAGAGCTTCTGAAGACCAAACATTTTGAAAACCAATTGTTTCCACTACTAAAGTACTCCACATCCTTCAATGAGCACCCCCCCGTGCCAACCTGTCCGACGCCCCGTGCCCGCCCCCCCACGCGCCCCAGACCCACCCCCTCTCGCTCCCCGACCTCCCCACGCCCCCCGAAGGACGGCGGTTGCTCACCCCCCCACGCGATCCCCCCCCCCACGCTTATTGAGAGACCTGGAGCAGCTGCTTTGCGAGTGTTGGAACGCGCTGGTCTACTGATGATGCGTGCGGCCGCCTGTACCCGGATAGGCTCGAGGGCCGCAGAGCCCAGGGCCCGGCAGCGGGCTCTCGGGCCGCCTCTCGCCATCCCTGGAGGTGGGAGGGGCGTGAGGCGCAAATCGGCGGCGAGCGAGGGGGGTCAATGAGAAGGAGAAGGCCCTCTCAGAAGGCGGCGGGACCGCTCAGAAGCCCTCGCGCCTTCCGAGAAGTGTTCTCTGCCTTTGGGGAAGGCTTAGAGAACTTTTCAGAAGGCCAGGAGACGTCTGAACCTTCTGAGAAGGCCTTCTCCTGCTCACTTTCCCCCCTCGCTCGCCGCCGAGTAAAGGGGTGTGGTGCCAGTGTTGAGTCTGGCGGTGCCATCTGTCGCAGATAGCACCTCGACTCCCACGACTGGCACCACACCCCTTGCTGCCACACCCTTGTCCGACCTCCAGATCCATCCCTGGGGGGGGGCTGCCTGGAGCCCCGGGGCGCCATGATCGACAGCCTCTTCCTCGTATCCGGCAGCGGGAACCATGTGCTGGAGAGGTCGCCGGTCGTCGAAGAGCAGATCGGGAACACAACTGTGGGGCTGGGAGGATGTCAAGCAATGGCGAAGCGTCCTGGCTTGCCTAGAGGCCCACCAAGGAATGTTCTAACAACCTTTTGCGGTCTGCACGAAAGGTTCTTAGAATATTTCTGGCTGAGACTGACTTGTTTTAACACATCGGGTTTATGTTCTAAGAACATTGTTTTTGCTCTTTGAAAATTTGTGGGTTCCAAGACAATTTCATGGTAGGACCATGGGAATGCCGGGACGGTCGGTTCCTGCTCAAGGATGGGGTTGGGAGAAGTGATGATTTCACTACCCGTATGCGGCCGAAGGTGTCGTTCATTGCATACGGATTCGGTGGGTCATACTTTTCATCCTCCGAACCCCTTCCACTGAACACTAGGGGGCCACATGCGAACCCTACCCCTACCCCCCACGACTTCTGAGGGCGAAGTGAACCCCACCCTCCCCCTCAGAAATCGTGGGGGGTAGGGGTAGGGTTCGCATGTGGCCCCCTAAACACGGCTGGCTCTCCGCAGCGGAAACGGCGCAAATCTAATTTGGCGGAGCTCCGCGCGGATGCCTCGGATCGTTGCCAGGGCCCCCCGGGTCCAGCACCCATCCGAGAAATCCGCATGGGCCTCCAAGATTTTATGTTTATACCAGTGGTTTGGTCCCCTGTTATCGTTTTCGGCACTGGGGGCCACGTGCTGGATGGGTCGCCGATCGGCACGGACGAGACGTGTACGGAAAGAGTGGGCACGGAGAGGACCCACAGCTGTGCTTGCCAATTTGGAGCAGGGTTCGCTGTCGGCGTCGCCACGGTCGTTGGCCGTTTGAGACAGAAGGCCGCTTGCCCAACATCAGCCGCTGTCGGTCTTGGACAACACCTGCTGTGCGGCGTCGTACACTTTGTTTTTCCGTACCCTGTTCGGGCATCCGAAGCCGATGAAGGCACTTCTGATCTTCTAAGATATGTTGGTTTCCATCCAGTTGTTTCTCAACTTTTCGGCTCCCTGGGGCATGCGACATCAAACAACATAACCACACACAACGGCATAAACATAGTTTCCGGCGCTCCGCGCGGATCTCTTGGATCTGCGCTGGGCCCCTGGCGGCGCCTCCGGCGCCGCCCCCGGCGCGCACCGCGCGCCAGGAAGGGGGTCCACCGCAGATCCAAGAGATCCGCGCGGAGCGCCGAAAGGTTATGCTCATGCTGCCTCTTCTGCCTGCGCTTTCGGGCGCTCTGGGGCGTGCGACGCGGCCCGGGACCATGCACCAAAGAGCTGCCGGGGACGACGGGACGACGAGCGGGCTCCCGGGAGGGGGGTCGGGACCTCGTGGAGCGGCGCCGCGGAACAACAAGATGGCCGCATCGGATGACTTTGAGTCGGGCCTGTCCCTCTACAGGGGGAACATTCAACAATAGTCAAAAAATAGTCTTGGGACTATTTTTAAACAGTTGTTCCATTTCGGAGCATGTTTTGAATAACTTTATTTTGTTGTCGAAAATCCCCCTGTAGGGGGACGCGCCCGACTTACGGATAACTCTGCAAGCCAAGGGCTCCCCCCACGCCGCGCAGAGCTCCCGACGGGCGGCTCGGGGGGGCGTGTGCGTTCGGCAGAAGACTGAGGCCCTCGGGCTCTCACCCGACCCCAGGGACTGCCAGACAAAAAAACGATGCGGGATGTGGCACCTGCCTGGGAGGTCGGCCACGCGCAGAGGGGGGCCAGGGGGAGGAGGGGAGGCTTCTGAGAAACACCTCTGCTTCTCTCAGAATGCGCGGGCCGCACCCGTAGATGTGGAAGGCCGGCTCCTTCTGAGAAGCAGCCTCCTTCTACAGAGCCTTCCCCCCTCCCCCCCGACCCCCCTGGCGCGCGCCGCAAACCCAGACCCCCGACGTCATGGTTCTTTTTCGACGTCGACCCCCTGAGGTCTCGATCCACTTCCCGGGACCGGTTTCATATCCTGAGTCCCTCTTTGACGGCCCCGAGGCCGGGTAATTGCGGGCCCCCAGAGGCCCAACATAGCGAAAAGCCTCCCGCCGCGATGCCTCTGCCTGACTCGACGAGGTCTGGGCATGGGGTGGTTCGGATGCAACTCCTGGGAGGTCAAATTCTGATTCCGCCCTGGTCCGAAATCCGGCTTCATCCGTCTTGATCCCGCTTGATCCAGCTTGATCCCGCTGAACCCCGCTTCTATCCGGCTTAATCCCGCTTATAACTCGAGGCCAATTCCGGCGTGAGAGCCCCGCAATGGGGTTCCATCCTCCGTAATCTTTCCGACGGAGACCTCCCAGCAGCTGCTTCCTGCAGGGTGGCGAGGTGTGCGCAGTTCCGGGCCCGCGGTGGCAGCCAGCCCCTGGGGCCGCTGCAGGGCCCCCCTTTTCGCGCCGCAGGGCCCCCTCTCGTCGCAGGCCTAGAGGTTGACACCAACATCGAAATCGGCGGTGTGCATCCACCGAGGGAGGAAGATCCCGATCTCGGTGATGGTGGTAACATTCTGGCTTCCAACGTGGCCGAAATATTGCCACCAACACCGAAATAGAGGATCGTCTTTTCCCCTGTGGAGGCGGGCAGTGACAAGAGCTCCTGGAACGGGGGGCGTGTCTCGGAAATGGGGAATACACGCATCACCATCCGAGGCCCGAAAACCAGCACTTCACTAATTTTGGGCCCCAGGGCCCACAGGCCCCAGGGGCCCCAGATTAGTGAAGTGATGTTTTTTTCCACGTGAGGACCCCGAAATTCATCACTTCACTAAACCGAACCCAGGACGAGCGTCAGGGGCCGAATTGCTGCTGTGATGCAACATCGGTCTCGTATTATCAGTGGCGGGCTGTTTCTCAATCCCAGGACTGTTCGAGGGTCGGGGACGACGCTGGGCTGGTGGGGTGTATGCTTGTTTCCCCGATGTCCCGGGGAAACGACGAAAAATGTATACACCCTGCAGGGTCCCGTGTGCACCAGGATTCGCTCTCCAGTGCAAATTGCAATGCAGGGCTGGACAATGCGTCGGTGCATATAGAGTTCGATTCCCCAGCTTCACCATTTTCGGCCTCGGGGGCCCTGGCTGGTCCCCGGGGCCGTCAAGAGAGCGGCTCAGGACGAGAGCCGGGTCCGGGGGATACAGTCGGGGCGCTGAAGAAGGAACCCTCCTCGTTGGCGAGGGGCTCGGTGTTCCTGGATTGTGTAGCAGTTTGCGTTGGGTGTTCCATGGGAAATCGAAGTTTAACTTATGGGAAATTCAGAGCCCCGGGGTAACTCGGGTCAGGGCTAACTCGGGTTCGTTTTTCGGGAATCCGAACCCGACTTACCCCGGACCCGAGTTACCCCGGATAAGTCGGGCGTCCAGAGCCCCACACCATCAGGGGTAACTCGGGTCAGGGCTAACTCGGGTTCCTTTTTCGGGAATCCAAACCCGAGTTACCCCGGACCCGAGTTACCCCGGATAACTCGGGCGCCCAAGAAATAGGGGCCTCGTTCCTTATTTGGGGTTCCTTAGGTCAACGCCCCGACTGTATTGGTCGAGACCTCCGGAGCCGACGGCCTTAAAAAACATCCTGGCGTCGAGGGGGCTCCGGGCCAGAAGGGGCCTCCGAGGGGGGCCCACGCGCGCGGTGGCCAAGCCCCGCGAGCGCCGGTGGGAGAATTCGTCAGGAGGGGGAACAAAAGCACACAGACGCAAGTCATCGTCGACTCCCAGGAAGACATGGGAAACTATGGGCAGTGGGGGGGGAGACGAACCTCCAGAAAATGTAGGAAAATATCGGGAGTCCTGGGATTTGTGTGTATTTCTGTTTGTGTGTCCTTGGGCCCCTGGAGTTCGGGCCGCGGGGATCCCGAGGGGAGCGGGCCCTGCGCGGCGATCTGTGTTTTTTCGGAGGGGGGGGGGACGAGGAGGAGCGAGGAGGAGGAGCGAGGGGCAGTGGGGGGGGCGAACATCCAGAAAACATGTGGGGAAACATGCGGAATCCTGGGCGTTGTGTGTGTGTATTCGTTTGTGCGTCCTTTTACCTATACGGCTTCGGCACCGCCTGTCTCTGGGGCTTTGCCTCCCCTCGGCCTCGCCCTGAGGCCCCGCCGCTTTCTCCTCCCCTCCCTCCGCCTACACAAGCTTCGCGCGGCCCGCTTAGCTTCGACCGGAAGAGGTGCGCTCTCGACCCGCGGATCAAAAATTGTTTGTGTGTCCTTGGGCCCCTGGAGTTCGGGCCGCGGGGATCCCGAGGGGAGCGGGCCCTGCGTGGCGATCGGTCTTTTCGGAGAGGGGGGGGTTGGGGGGGGGGGGTGTCTCGGGCTTCCCCCCCTGGCCAGGGCCCGCCCCCCGGGGCCGTGGAGAAGTCCGCCAGAGCTCGAGTACTTCGGGGATCGACTGCAGAACCGGTTCACCCTTCAGTCGGGCCTGTCCCTTTACAGGAGGAACAGTCAAAAATAGTACAAACATAGTCCCGATGTTATCACCATGTCGGTATATTTGGGAGTTTTTTTTTAAACTTACGAGCAGTATACGACTTTCTCATGGACCTGGCGCGCTCCGGCGCCGGCGCCGGGGCCGTGGAGAAGTCCGCCAGAGCTCGAGTGCTTAGGGGATCGACTGCAGAACTGATTTACCCCAGACTTGGCCCTTTCGCCCAGTCGTGCGTAGAAGGTTCCAGGAGTCACGAACAGTGCAGTGGGGGCGCGCCTCAAGAAATGATGTGCTTTTCGTCAGGGTACCCCCTGGGTTTCTTCGCTCCTCGCGTTGCGCGGCGGCTTCCCGCGGCGGTGCGCGGGTTTCCCCTCCAGTGCACCTCGCGCGCGGGTTTTCAGGGTTGGTTTTCATTCTTGCGAGGGTTTCTTGCGACCGCGCCCGCGACCTGGCGCGCTCCGCGCGCCAGCGCCATGGAGGGAGGTTCAGCGCAGATCCCAGAAATCCGCGCGCACCGTCACAAGCTTGTGTTCATGCAGTTCTTTGTTTCTCTACTTTCAGGTCGCGCATGTCCTCCTAATTACAGAATCAAACATAGCCAAACAAATGCAGCACATTGCCGAAACATAACTCACAAATCATGCCCAGAGTTTTTAACTATTTTGGGAGATTCCTCCTGTAGAGGGGCAGGCCCGACTTAACTCTAGCTAGGCCCTGGCCCAGGCCCAGGGCAAGCGTGGGCGAGCCGCCGTCGAAGACGGAGCGCTCAAGCCGAGCAGCGTACCGCATGTGAGATGGGCGTTCGCCTCCGATTGCCTCGTTCGGGAAACGCGCGCTCCCCCCCGTTCCCAGACCCCCGACGTCATGATTATTTCGCAACGTCGACCCCAGGAGGTCTCGACCCATCCCCCGCGGGACCGGTTTCTCATCCCCAGTCGATTCCTGACGGCCCCCGGGCCCGGCAAGGGCCTCCGAGGGCAGAAGACAAGGAAACACTTCCCGTCGTGATCTTGGTTATGACCCGAAGGTGCTTGGGTTTGCGTCCGCCACCCCTGGAAGAACCCTCGGGGGCCCAGGGTTAAGTCGGGCCCCATCCACAGGGGGAATATTCAAAAATAGTCCAACAATAATCTGGCGACGATTTGGGTGGCATTTTTTGAACCATTCTGGTGTATTTTAGGGGTATTTTTCATTTTTTCATCCCAAATCCCAATGTAGGGGGACAGGCCCGACCTAAGGCAAGGAGCTTCCCCGGGGTCCCCGATCCCCTCGGGATCCCCGATTCCCTCGGGATCCCCGCTTCCCTCGGGATCCCCGCCTCCCTAGAGTCGGACGGACGGCACCAGGTGGGGAGGGCACCAGAATTAAGTCGGGGTCCTCTACAGGGGGAGTATTCAAAAATTGCCAAAAGAAACAATAGTATGGCGACGATTTTTCGTCCAAAATCCCCCTGTAGGGGGACAGGCCCGACCTAAGGCAAGGAGCATCCTCGGGATCCCCTGCCTTCCCTCGGGACCCCCGCGGCCCCGGGGCGCCCGACGGCGCCCGACGGCGCCCGCGACGGCCGCACTGCAGCGCGCGCGCGCGCAGCCCCCCTGGAGGCCTGGGCCCGGGCCTCCTCCCAGACTCACGTCGGGCATGCCCCCCCACAGGCGGAGTCTGCAAAATGAACAGAAGAAGAGTCTCGGGACGATTCTCTTCTAGTACTTTTCCTCTCCTCCTCCCCCTCCTCCTCCTCCTCCTCCTCCTCCTCCTCCTCCTATCCTCCTCCTCCTCCTCCTCCTCCTCCTCCTCCTCCTCCTCCTCCTCCTCCCCCTCCTCCTCCTCCTCCTCCTCCTCCCTCCTCCTCCTCCTCCTCCTCCTCCTCCTCCTCCTCCTCCTCCTCCTCCTCCTCCTCCTCCTCCTCCCCCTCCTCCCTCTCCTCCTCCTCCTCCTCCTCCTCCTCCTCCTCCTCCTCCTCCTCCTGCCCCTCCCCCTCCTCCTTCTCTCCTCCTCCTCCTCCTCCTCCTCCTCCTCCTCCTCCTCCTCCTCCTCCTCCTCCTCTCTGTTTGAAACTATGTGTGAGCATGTCTGCCTATCGCCCCACACGCGCCTGCAGGAGGACGTGCTCGATTGGATCCACCAGACCCTCTCGGCGGGGGGATGGCCCCCGGGGGCCCAGGGCCGGGCGGACGGCCCCCGGGGGGGGGGGGCAGAACCCCCCCCCCCACGAGGCATCCACAGTGTGTCGTCGTCGTCGCCACCGTCGCCGTCTGCCGCCGTCCGCCGTCCGCCGTCCTCGTCCTCGTCCTATCGTCGTCGCGTCGTCGTCGTCGTCGCTGTCGTCGTCCTCGTCGTCGTCCTCTTCGTCGTCGGTCGTCGTCGCCTTCGTCGTCGGTCGTCGTCGTCGCCCTCGTCGTCAGGGTCGAGGGCCGGAGGCTGCCACCGCGGGCCCAGGGCGTGCACCAGGGGTGCACGCGTCGTCGCCCCACGGTCTTCGTGCGTGCTCGGGCCCCCTCGGGTCACGGCAGAAGTCGCGACGCGCGGTTTTGCGACATGGTGTCGGAGTTGGGCAGACCTCCTACCCTGACACGTCGATTCAGGAGTTGGCCGTTTTCGGAGCGCGAGAGGGCGTCGCGGCCGACAATTTTGCGGGTCCCAGGTCCGCCGGTTTCGGTCCCAGGCCATTTTCGCTAAGGGGAGGTTTACTAAAGGGAGGTTTGTCCACCGCCCATTGTGGGCCCTCGGGGCCGTCAAAAAGCAACGAAGGCCGGTCCCGGGAAATAGGTCGAGACCTCTGGGGGTCGACGTTCTGGAGCATCTTGACCTCTGGTATATTGCCCCCTCCGTCAACCAGCACCCGGAAGGACCCCCTTTCCCTCCTCGGGGGCCCCGTACCCTGCCGTGCCGGGTAGAGGCACTTCCGCGGCACTACGCCGCGCATCGTGTGCGAGCCGTTCATGGAGCTGCTGCGCAGCAGCGACCGCCTCGAGGGCATCCCCGGGGTGATGTGCCGCGACCGGCGGCACGCCCTCATCTCGGGCAGTGCCAAGGGGGGTTTCACCACTGCTGCCCTCGGCAAGGGGAAACCTCAAGCCTTGGTTGCGCAGTCTCCCTGTCGAGGTGATGCTCCAGGATGGGGGGACACTGTCTGCCCAGTACTTGTGGGCCCCCTCCGCCAACGTCGGCCCTCGTGGGCTTCCGAGCCACACCCGCTCAGACCGCGTCTCGCTCTGCCTCGGCATTGAAACGGGGGCGACAGTCAAGGGTTGCATGGGGGCGGCATTGAAGGGCGATGTCAGCCACTTTTGAGGTTCAGTTTGTCGAGGGTTGCAGGGTTTCGCCAGCTCCTCGTGAGGATCGAGGTTCCAGGATCGAAGCTGGAGGCTTTTTTTTGGGGACGCGTGGGGTCGTCCTGGGCGGCTCTGGAGCGTCCTTGGGCTCCACTTCCCTGAGGCAAGCTTGCTTCCGCGAGGCAGCGGCGGCTCCCCCCCCTTCTGACGACCCCCCTTTGGCATTACCTGGTCATACACATCGCCCGGGAGAAGATGGCCTTCCTGGCGGTGGTGTCCCAGGATCGGGAATGAAACAACCGGTTTGTGTGTATAAATGTTCGGAGCTCCGCACGGATTTCTTGGATCGGCGCTGGGCCCCCTTTGCGGCACTTCTGGCGCCGCCCCTGGCGCGCTGCTCCGCGCGTCAGGGGGGGGGGGGTCCAGCGCCGATCCAAGAAATCCGCGCGGAGCTCTGGAAGTTTTAGATGTATGTCAAGTTGTGTTCCTCTGCAGGAGGAGCCGCCCCTGGCCGTCTTCGAGCTCCTGGAAAGGGTGCACCATGTGCTGGCGCGGTACTTGGGCGACGTGAACGAAGACTCGCTGCGGCAGAACTTCTCTACGGTCTACCTCCTCTCGAGGAAGAGAACCCGGCACTGACATGAGCTTTTGGAGCTCCGCGCGGATTGCTTGGATGCGAGCTCCACCGCGCCTCGTGAAGGTCTGCGCAGACTTCTTGGATCGGCACTGGACCCCCTCACTCCTGCGCGGAGCGCGCCAGGGGCGGCGCGGCAGGCGCCGCCAGGGGCCCCCCGGCGCCGATCCGAGAAGCCCGCGCGGAGCTCCGCTCCTCCTCCTTCTCCTTGCCTCCCCCCCTCTTCCTCCTCCTCCTCCTCCTCCTCCCTCCTCCTCCTCCTCCTCCTCCTCCTCCTCCTCCTCCTCCTCCTCCTCCTCCTCCTCCTCCTCCTCCTGCTCCTCCTCCACACTTTGTGTGTGTGCCGCGTTTTGCGCCCTCGATCTTCCTGGACGAGATGATAGACAGCGGGCTGCCGTTCACCACCGAGCTCAACAGCCTGGAGTCGATCATCGCGCCGCCCTCGGCGCTCGGCAGGGTCGTCCAGGCTCAAGTCGGGCCTGTCCCCCTGCAGGGGATTTTTGGACGAAAAATAGAACATACCCCAGAAATAGTTCAAACATCATCCGAAAATAGTCTGGGGACTATGTGTGGGGCATTTTTTGGCTGATGTTTGGGGCATTTGTGGGGGTATCATTAAAAAAAACAAAAAAAAAAAAAAGAAAACAAACAAAAACATCGAAAATCCCCCTATAGGGGGACACGCCCGACAGAAGTCCAGGCGGTGGCCGGGAGCAGCACGGCGGTGCTGTCGGACGTGCCCCCGGAGGCCGGCGGCGGCCAGGCCGGCGGAGCCCTGGGGGCGCTGTCCACCGCCCTGGGAGCGGGGGCGCACACGCAGATAGGCGGCGCCTCCGCCGAGGCGCGGCGGCGGAGGCCTCCCTCGGTGGGGTCCGAGCAGTTGTAGAGGCGGGCCTGTCCCTCTTCGGGGGCGGAAAAGAGGGGGGTGATGACTATAGGGGGGGGTGGATATCATGGCGGGGGCCATGATATCTCCCCAGATTTCATGGCGCCTCTTCTCATTTCATTGCGTCCCTGGCCCCCCTCGCTGGGCCACGCACATGCCGCCGGTGATGATTTGCACCCCCCCCTTTGGACACCCCCCTCCTGGCCGCTCCCGGCCTCTGCAGGGGGAAGAATGCAAAGGTGGTAGAAAAACAGTCTGCGGAGCATTTGTGTCGTATTTTTTGGCCATGTGGGAGCATTTTTGTGGTGTTTTCTATCTTTCGTCGAAAATCCACCTGTAGGGGGGCACGCCCGACTTCAGAGCAGATGGAGCTGGAGGATCGTGCCGCACCGTCGATGTGGAGCTCCGTTTTCGCCGCGCGGTCGTCGCCGATGCGCCGCCGACGTCGCCGATACATTGTCGCTGTATCGCCGATGCATCGGCGATGCGGCGCGATCTTCCGACCACTTCGACTCGGACCCCATCCAGGAGGCCTCCAGTTAGGTAGTAACTCGTGGAAGCTCCCGCTCGTCTTGGATTGAACGTATGTCGGCGAACAGCGCTCAATAGCGCCCAGTAGCCACGAACGCTCCCATGTGAGGGAGATGCCTTATGTCCGCTTTGCGCGCGATTGGGCTCGCTATTAGGCGCCATAGGGGACGACCAAAAGCTTCTGTAAGTTGATTTCTAAAGGTGTGGTGGCGCCGGCAGAACGTATCGTATGCCTCCAACGAGGTGTACGTCGACATCGTCGAGTCGATCGACTGCATCTGCAATGGTAGTGGCAGCATGGTCTCGGGCGGGATCAAGGGGGACATCCTGGTCAACAGCAAGTTGAGCGGGCTACCCGAGGTCCTCCTGACGCTGCGAAACCCCGGAGTGCTGCAGAACGTGTCCTTCCACCCGTGCGTGCGACTGCACCGCTACGAGCGGGATCGGGCGCTGGCCTTTGTCCCCCCAGACGGCGAGTTCACCCTCGCCTCGTATTGGATCCCTGATACGACCCTCGTCTTGCCGTTCAATTTCAACGTATCCCTCACGTATCACCAGGAACACGCGAAGCTGCAGATCGTGGCGAACCCCAAGCTGGCAGTGACGATGCAGCACAAGCAGATGTTGATCGACAAGTTCTGTGTGAACGTCCGCCTGCCGTCTTCCATTGCCTCTGCCACCTTGAACTGCCAAGGGGGAAGCATCCGCTTCGACGAGGACTCCAAGGTGGTGGTGTGGAACATCGGCAAACTCGCCGGCCAGGAGAACAAGGCGGACGCCACACTGATATACGCCACAGACCCCAGGGATGGATCTCCGATAGTGCCCTCCGAAGAGAAGTCCACGTCACAGCTGCATTTTGCGATCAAGGGCTGGGCCATCTCTGGCATCCGGCTCGACGCCTGCGACGTAAGCGGCACCAATTACACCCCCTACAAGGCCAGCAGGTACACAACGACCTCTGGCAGGATGGACTTCCGGGTCGCCTAGGTCTCCTGAGTGCACCATCCGTGTAGCATGAGCGGCCGGAAATGCGAGCAGGACGGAGAGGACTTGCCCTCCTGGCTTCGACACCCCTCCCGAAAGGTCGTTGAGACAATAGGTTCCTTGGGTGTGGGGGCTGAGGACTAAAGTTCTCGCCCAGCTGTGGCTGGACGGCGAGGAGGCAGGAGAATGAGGAGAAGGAGGCGGCGGAGGAGGCGAAGGAAGATCGAATCTCTGCTGGTGGAAACTAGAAAGGGGTCTCCTTGGGTGCAGAAGTGGGGTGGGAGCGCATGCGCATGACATTACCCTATCTTCCTCTTCCTCCCCCCTTCTCTCCCTCTTCTCCCCCGCCCCTCCCCTTCCTCCCTGGGAGAGGGCGGACGGAGGACAAGAAGGAAGAGGAGGCGGAGAAGGCAACGGGATGGTAGGAAACGGTTGGAAGTGGGGGAGGAGGAGAAAACGGAGAAGGAAGGATGAGGAGAGCACATACACCAGTCCTGCATCCCTCCCTGCGTGGGAGCTCCTCACTGCGCGTGCGCTTTTCACTGCGTGGGCTTCTCACTGCGTGGGCTCCCGGATCTCCTGATCCCCGCTCCCTGGAACGGTCTTGTGTCCAGGATCGTCGTTGAAGGCCGCAATTGCGAAGCATCTTTGCCAGCGGGGGCCCCAAACAGTGGGTTTGTGCATTGTGGATGCGCACGTTATGTGGTGCAAGCTGCGTGGTGCGAGCTGTGTATGTGGTGCAAGCGTCGCTGTGCAGGCTACGTGGCGCAAGCTGTGCGGTGCAGGCTGCGTGGCACGCGCTACCTGGTGCAGGCCGTGTGGAGAAAGCCATACGGTGCAAGCGCGCAAGCGCCTTGGGCGGCAACAGGGCGGTGACGGGCGGCCACGAGGCGGCCACGATGGGCAAACAGTCGAGTAGCAGATCGACTACGACATTGATTTACCGCAAACTTCACTTCCCCCGTCGAATCTCTACGACAAGCGCGTGGAACTGTCGTATTTGATTCGTAGATCCGGCGATGGATCCAATTTTGGGGCAGGACAGCTCTGCAGTCGATCTCCTACCCGAAACGGGGCGGCGACGCGAGTAGTAGATTGACTACAGCATTGATCCACCGCAAACTCCCCCCGTCGAATCTCTACGACAAGCGCGTGGAACTGTCGTGTTTGATGCGCAGATCCTGCGATGGATCCAATTTTGGGGCAGGACAGCTCTGCAGTCGACCTCCTTCAGGAGGGGAAAAAACACACAGACACAATTAAGCGGCGATTCCCAGAAAAGATGGGAAAATATGGGAAGTGGGGGTGAAGACAAAAACCCAGAAAATATGGGAAAACATTGGGCATCTTTTTATTTGTGTGCATTTATCTGTGTGTCCTGGGGCCCCCTCCTCCTGCCCGAAGCAGGGCGGCGACGCGGCGGCCTCGGGGCGGCCCAGGAGAGGGCGGCCACGGGGCGGCCCGCGAGGCGGCGAGCCGGGGCGGCCCGGGAGGGCGGCCGCGGGCGGCCCGGAGAGCGGCCGCGAGGGGCCACGAGGAGGAGGAAGAGGAGGAGGAGGGGGGCGAGGAGGAGGAGGAGGAGGAGGAGAGGAGGAGGAGGAGGAGGAGGAGGAGGAGGAGGAGGAGGAGGAGGAGGAGGATGAGGAGGGAGGAGGAGGAGGAGGAGGAGGAGAGGAGGAGGAGGAGGAGGAAGGAGGAGGAGGAGGGAGGAGGGACTGGAGGAGGAGGGAGGAGGAGGAGGAGGAGGGGGAGGAGGAGGGGGAGGAGGAGGAGGAGGAGGAGGAGGAGGAGCGTCGCGATGCCTTCTGCGACGCCTGGAGATGTGCGCTCCCAGCCTCGCAGTCGACCCTCGGACCGCTCCCCGGTCGTGCTCGCACAAGAACTGTCGAGGCGAGGCCCATCCGTGGGGACGTGCCCCGCCCGGGAAGCCCAGACAGGCGGAGAAGCACCGGAGTCCTCTCCCCTTCCTGCACAGACCGCTCGGGACCCTCCGCGGCGCAGGAGAGACAGTAGCCCGCCCCTCCTCCTCGTCCCCCCCCTCTCCCTCCCCTTCTTTCAATCCGCGGCGCTGGTGACGGGGCGCACCCCCCCCAACGAAAACGACAGACAGGGAGTGCAGGAGGGGGGTGAGGGGACAGCAGCAGAAAGCTGAAGGGGGGCGGAGGAGACGGGCGCTCGGCTGGTGTGTTGTCAGCCACCTTTTCTTCCTCCCTCCGCACGGTTTAGGACTGCCAGGGCGCGGCGGATTCGCGGTGCTAACATCCGAGGGACGCTGCCAGGATGCAGCAGTAACACGTGGATTCGCGGCGTGGAAGTCCCAGGATGTTTGGTGGCTCGACGGGGGATTCTCAGACGGTGTTCTTCCAAGAGGGCCCCTTCCCGCAAGGAGCATGTTGTTTCAGGGGCCTGTGTGCAGGGAGTTTGGAGGGAGGGTTTGTGCGGCTTTGATTTGCTCTGGGCCCTCCCGCTTCTCCTCCTCATCCTCCTCCTCCTCTTCGTCCTCCTCCTCCTCCTCCTCCTCCTCCTCCTCCTCCTCCTCCTCATGCTCCTCCGCCTCCACCTCATCCTCCTCCTCCTCCTCCTCGCCCCCCTCCTCCTTCTCCTCCTCATCCTCCTCCTCCCCCTCATCCTCATTCACCTCCTCCTCGTCGTCCTCCTCCTCCTCCTCCTCCACCTCCGCCTCCTCCTCCCCTCCCTCTCCTAGTCCCCTACTACTCCTACTACTCGTTCTCCTCCTCCTCCTCCTCCTTCCTCCTCCTCTTCCCCCCCCTCCTCCTCCTCCTCTCCTCCTCTCTCCTCCTCCTCCTCCTCCTCCTCCTCCTCCTCCTCCTCCTCCTCCTCTCCCCTCCCTCTTCTCCTCTTCTTTCTCCTCCTCGTCTCTCCTCCTCCTCCTCCTCCTTTTCCTCGTTCTCCTTCTCCTCCTCCTTCTCCTTCCTCCTCCTCCCTCCTCCTCCTCCTCCTCCTCTCTCCTCATCCTCCTCATCATCCTCCTCCTCCCCCTCCCCCTCCTCCTCCTCCCCCTCCCCCTCCTCCCCCTCCTCCTCCCCCCCTCGCTTCCTTAGCGCGGAGCCGCGCTCGCCCCCGAGGAGTGGGAGCTGGCCGACGCCCCGAGCTCGGCATGTGTCCCGCCCGCCGTCGCGTCGGCGCACGGGGACGGGCGCGGCCGGGGGGAGAAGGGACGTGCGCGGAGCGGAAGGGGGAGGATGAGGACAGGCCGAGGAGGAGGAGGAGGATCACGAGGATCACAAGGAGGAGGAGGAGGAGGAGGAAGAGGAGGAGGAGGAGGAGGAGGGTGAGGATGAGAATGAAGAGGGCGAAGCGGAGGGGGGGGAAGAAGAGGGGGAGGGGAGGGGGAGGCACGTTTGGGGACTTGTTGTCAAGCACGGCGAGCACAGAGGGGGATGGGGGGAGAATGGGAGCACGGCGCACAAACGTCGGGATCGTCCCCTTTCCCTCACCACTCGTTCCATCCTCCTCCCTCTTCTCTCCTTTTCCCTCCCCATCCGAGAAACCACATCGCGGTAGACCGCGTAGATCTGTGACCAACCGAGGGGGGCGACGATGAGGTGAACGGAGGGTTCGAGGAGGATTGAGAGAGGAGAGGAAGAGGGAGGATCAACTAGGAGGGAGGAGGAGGAAGAGGAGGAGGCGGAGGAGGAGGAGGAGGAGGAGGAGGATGAGGAGGAGGAGGGGGAGTTGACGGAGAAGAGGGAGGGAGGCGCATGATGAGGTTGAAGAGAAGCGGATGAGCAGAGGGGGACGAGGACTAGTAGTAGGAGGGATGAGACGGAGAGGCGTGAGGCAGGAGGAGGGAATCGGAGGAACAATGAGGCTACTGAGGGTGATGCCGAGGGCGAAGTTGCGGGTGAGGCTAACGATGGGGATAATGATGAGGATGATGAGGATGTTGCTGATGCGGCTGATGCTGCTGCTGATGATGCTGATATGAGGGTGCTGATGATGCTGGTGATGCTGCTGCTGATGATGCTGCTGCTGATGATGATGGTGATGATGCTGCTGCTGCTGCTGCTGATGATGATGATGATGATGATGATGATGACGACGATAAGCAGTGTGATGGTGCTGATGCGGCGAATGTGCTCTCCATCTCCATCGATGATCAGACTCCCCCTGCTGCTGCTGCTGCTGCGTGCCCCCCCCCCCAAGTCCGTCTCCAGATGCTCCTGATATCGCTTCTCCTCGCGCTCCGAAGCCGCTCTGGCCCAAAACCTGAGGGTGCCTGCACACTGCTTGTGCCTCAGCCCCTCCTCCCACAACAGAAACGAAGTCATGGCGATGCCCAGCGTGATCGCGACCGTCCTCGTGCTGCTCGCCCAGCTGGCGCGCGGCGACGCCGATGCCGCGCAGTCTCGGGTCACTCCGCTGGCGAAGGTGCTGCAGATGCTCGACGAGATGAGCGCCAAGGGGGCCAAGGCCAAGCACGAGGAGGAGGTTGAGTTCGCCTCCTTCCACCAGTGGTGCGACTCGCTGCGCGACGAGAAGGATCGGCGGCACGCCCGCGGGGGGGGGGGGACGGCGGCAGGCCTCCTCAGAGGGTGGCGGGGCTTCTCGAAAGCCCTCGCGCCTCCTGAGAAGCCGCCCGTGTCTTCAGCGAAGGCTCCGAGAGCTTCGCAGAAGTCTCGAGGCCTTCTGAGTCTTCGGAGGGTCCCCGCCCCCGCTTGCCTGCGCACCGCCAAGAGGAGAAGAGCATCAAGGAGGCTGGCGAGCAGATCGAGCAGCTGAGTGCCGACATCGCCAAGGCCGAGGCCGACGCGGAGGCCCTGGCGGGCGAGATCAAGGAGCTCGAGGCGGCCATCGCGAAGGCGGAGTCCGAGCTGGCCGAGGCCAAGGCAATGCGGGCGAAGCAGAAGGCCGACTACGACGCGCAGCACGAGGACTTCTCCGAGTCCATTGACGCGCTGGAGCGCGCCGTCCAGGTGCTCAAGTCTCGCGAGGCGGACGTTTTGTTGGCCCCGCCCTTTTTCCCGGAAAGGGCATGAGCCCAGGGTTCTCTTTTAGTAGGTAAACCTGTCCCCCGGTGCCAACTTGAAGGAGGCCGGCGAATTTTTTCCCTGATAAATATCGAGGTCGAAGGAGGCCGGCGAATTAAAATTTGAGGATGTCTCGAGCGAAACGCTTGTTTTTGAAATCCCGATCGATAAATCACAGGGTGCGGGCCACTTTTTCGTGTGTTGAGGATGTCTCGAGCGAAACGCTTGCTCCGCAGAGTTTGCCGAGGATGTCTCGAGCGAAACGCTTGTTTTGCAGAGCCGACCGCGACGCGGAAAAGCGCCCCGCGCGAAGGAATTTCGATGATGTCTCGACTAATTCGTTTGTTTTTGTACGATTTCCTGGAATTTTGGCAGGATGTCTCGAGCGAAATGCACGACCCCACCCTAGCACGACCATACCCCAGCACGACCACACCCCAGCACGACCAGACCCCAGCACGACCCCACCCCAGCACGACCCCACCCCAGCACGACCATACCCCAGCACGACCACACCCCAGCACGACCCGACCCCAGCACGACCCTACCCCCAGCAACGACCACACCCCAGCACGACCACACCCCAGCACGACCACCCCAGCACGACCCCACCCCAGCACGACCACACCCCAGCACGACCACACCCCAGCACGAGCCGACACCCCAGCACGACCCCACCCCAGCACGACCCCACCCCAGCAAGACCACACCCCAGCACGACCACACCCCAGCACGACCTCACCACAGCACGACCACACCCCAGCACGACCACGCCCCAGCACGACCACGCCCCAGCACGACCACGCCCCAGCACAACCACCCCCCAGCACGACCACCCCCCCAGCACGACCACCCCCAGCACGACCACACCCCAGCACGACCACTCCCCAGCACGACCACACCGCCTTGGTTGAGTGGTTGCCTGTCGTCGTGGAATGTTTCGTGGGGTGTCTCGTGGAATGTTTCGCGGGGTGTCTCCTGGAATGTTTCGTGAGGTGTCTCGCGGAATGTTTCGTGAGGTGTCTCGTGGGATGTTTCGTGAGGTGTCTCGTGGGATGTTTCGTGAGGTGTTGCCCCGTTGGGTATCGTGAAAACGTGCCCATGCTCCACATGTCTATATCCCTTTCCGGGTTCGTGGGTCCATCATGTTTATGACCGATACCTACATCTGTGAATCCACACCTATATAGTTATGTGTACGCGTCTGTATGTTATCCAGCGCGGGCCCAAGACAGTTACTGATCTGTTGATGTGCACGCTATGTGGTGCAAGCTTCGTGGTGCAAGGTATGTGGTGAAAGCCAGGTGGTCTGCGTGGTGCAAGCGATGTGGTGCACGCAAGGCGGTGCAAGCTATGCGGTGCAATCTAAATATTTACGCGGGTCGAAAGGCTCTCCTCTTGATCCCAGAATGTCGGAAGCGCCGTGCCGTTCAAGTGAACGGATGTATGATGCTTTCGATTCGAATCGGGGCGTGCCATTACCGGCGGAGATGCGGGAGTTGGCCGGGCCCGCTGTGGCGTTCGAGCATCCGTATGTTATGGGAGGAGCTCGTGTGATTGCCAGGCCTGCTGTGGCGCTCGAGCACCCACATGTTATGGGAGGGGTGAAGGGAGGTGGCTGGGCGGGCGCTGTGGTGCTCGAGCTTCCGACCTCGACACTTTGCTTGTCTTCGTCCTCCTCCCTCCGCCTCCCCCCCCGCCTCCTCCCTCCACCTCATCCTTCATCCTCCTCGTCGTCGTCGTCGTCCTCCTCCTCCTCCTCCCTCCCTCCACACTTGAACAATCTGGATAGTACTATCCTCTCCTTCCTGGTGGCGTCCAGGAAATGTTCGGCCCCCCTCTGCGTACTGGTTTCTTACACAGGATTCCTGGGAAACCTGCTTTCGCTTGGTTTTTTTTGTCAAAGTGGTACTCCCGCTGAAGCGCTGGGTTCATTTTCGAGCTACCGCTCGTTCCGGATCGTGCTCCCGCTGCAGCGCTGTACTCGTTTCCTCGTTTCCGCTCGTTCCGAATCGTGCTCCCGCTGCAGCGCTGGCTCCATTATTTCCAGCGCCATGCCACGGCATGGTGTTCGGTCCTTCCAAATATGCACCAAAATTAAAGAATACTTCCCCGATAAAAAACCAACGGAAATGATTACACAGTCGGTGTCGATTCGTTATTGGTTTTCTAGGCAGCAGACGCCCCCCAAGTTGGGGCGCCGTAGCGCTATGCTATGTCAGGCTGCGCGTCCTCATTTCCGCGCTTCCGCGCTTGGGCTTTTGTTCAGAATGTTGTTCTCGCAGGGGCAGTGGCTTCATTTTCGAGCTACCGCTCGTTCCGAATCGTGCTCCCGCTGCAGCGCTGGCCTCATTTCCTCGTTTGCGCTCGTTCCGAATCGTGCTCCCGCTGCAGCGCTGGCGTCATTATTTCCAGCGCCATGCCACGACTTCTTTTTCGGTCCTTCCAAATGGCCCCCAAATCAAAAAATGCCCCCCCCCCCCCCGACAAAAAACCATTGGAATTGATTACACAGTTGGTGTCGATTCGTTTATTCCCGGAAAGGGCATGGGCCCAGGGTTCTCTTTTAGATGGTCTTCCCCCCGGTTTTTACTTGAAGGGGGCCGGCGGAATTCTTGTGCGATAAATTACAAGGTCGAAGGGGGCCGGCGGATTTCAATTGTGAGGACGAAGGCAATTTTTCGCCACCCCTCACGCAGATCGTGCTCTTGGAATTTTACTGCCTTTAAGGAAACCTCGATATTTCACAGGTGAAGTCTATTTTTTTCCGACATCGACTTTAAACAATAAAAAACGAGGTAAACGCGTTCGCTCGATAAATAACGAGGTACCGCGGCCTCTAGAACGGCGCTGGGAACGGAGTTTTGGATTCTTGAAGTTGCATAAGTTCGGAAATAGCAGAAATTCCTTCTGTTTTTTACCCTGACCCCGCCGATCTGCATGAGGTGTTGCACGGAATACCAGAAATGTGTCAAATCCCCTGTGTTTTTGGACCCTGACCCCGCCGATCTGCGTGAGGGGTGGCGCGGAATTCCAGACATGTAGCAAATCCCATATGTTTTTGGACCCTGACCCCGCCGATCTGCGTGAGGGGTGGCACGGAATTCCAGAAATGTGGCAAATCCCATGTGTTTTCGGATCCTGACCCCGCCGACCTGCGTGAGGGGTGGCACCGAATTTCAGAAATGTGGCAAATCCCATGTGTTTTCGGACCTTTTTCAGAATTTGTTGAGGATGTCTCGAGCGGAACGCTGGTTTTGCAGAGTTGGGGATGTCTCGAGCGAAACGCTTGTTTTCAGAATTTGTTGAGGATGTCTCGAGCGAAACGCTGGTTTTGCAGAGCCGACCGCGACACGGAAAAGCGCCCCGCGCGCAGGAATTCCGATGATGTTTCGCGCGTGCCGCGTCCCGCGCGCATGAATTTCGAGGATGTCTCGACTTATTCGTTTGTTTTGCTAGGATTTCTTTGAATGTTGGCAGGATGTCTCGAGCGAAATGCTTGTCTTTCATAATTTGTTGAAGACGTTTCGAGCGAAACGCTGGTTTTGCAAAATTTGTGGATGTCTCGAGCAGGGGCCTCGTGGGGGGCCTCGTGGGGGTCCAGAATTCAGAGGATGTCTCAGGCGAAATGCTTGTTTTCACGTCCCGCTCGCAAGAATTCCGAGGATGTCTCGCGCGTGCCGCGTCCCGCGCGCAGGAATTCTGAGGATGTTGGCAGGATGTCTCGAGCGAAACGCTTGTCCCCAGCACGTTCCGTAGCGCGTCCCCTTGGCACGTCCCGCGGTGCGTCCCCATGGCACGTCCCTTGGCACGTCGCTTGGCGGGTCCCTTGAGACGTTCCGCGTCGCGTCCTCCTGGCATGCCCCCCTGTCCATTAGCTCTGGGGCAGCTACTATGTGTTCAGGCAGCTCGAGCTTAAGATCCAGATCAGTTCGGTCAGGACTCGGATGCAAAGGAGGACTCGATCCACGAGGCTATAGAGCACAATCGCGGCATGGCACATCGCAATTCAGCACGGCGCAGCACAGCACAGATTTCGGCACGGTACATCAAGATCGATACACTCAGCATTGCAACTTGGCACGTTCCGTGGCACGTTCCGTGGCGCGTCCCTTGGCGAGTCTCCCTGGCACGTCGCGTGGCGCGTCCCCTGGCACATCCCGTGGCACATCCATTGGCACGTTCCGTAGCGCGTCCCCTTGGCACGTCCCGCGGTGCGACCCCATGGCATGTTCCCTGGCACGTCGCCTGGCGCATCCCTTGGGACGTTTCGCGGCGCGTCCTCCTGACATGCTCCCCTGTCCATCAGCTCTGGGGCAGCTACTATGTGTTCAGGCAGCTCGAGCTTAAGATCCAGATCAGTTCGGTCAGGACTCGGATGCAAAGGAGGACTCGATCCATGACGTTATAGAGCACATTCGCGGCATGGCACATCGCAATTCAGCACGGTGCAGCACAGCACAGCCCTCGGCAGGGTACATCGAGATCGATACATTCAGCATTGCATTTGCCCGTCACCCAATCAGGTGTCTTTGAAAACGCTGCCATGTGTTACAGTTCTATAGTCCTTTCCGGGTTCGTGGGTCGATCATGTTTTTTAACAGCAGCCCCCCACTTTGGGACGTCGCCACGCCATGCTATGTCAGGCTACACGTCCTCATTTCCGCGCTTCCGCGTTTGGTTTTGTTCAAGATGCTGCTCTCGCTGAATCGCTGGCCTCATTTTCGGGCTACCGCTCTTGCCGAATCGTGCTCCCGCTGCAGCGCTGGCCTCATTTCCGCGCTTCCGTTCGTTCCGAATCGTGCTCCCGCTACAGCGCTAGCGCCATTCTTTCCAGTGCCATGCCACGGCATGGTTTTCGGTCCTTCCAAATATGCCCCAAAATCTAAACATGGAGGACCTCCCGAAGAAACCATCGGACGTGATTGCACATTCGGTGCCGATTCGTGGATTTTCTGGGCCGC